AGGAAACTACCCGCCTATATGACTGAAATACTGTTGGAAAAAGGCGTAAAATGACACAAACAAACAAACAGTGTATATCTATAAGTGTATGTAACTGTTGTGTATGTTTATTTTGTAATGCTTTCTTGTAATGAAAAAGTATTACCCAATAATCAATTTTGTGCGACAGTTTCCCTCCCAAAATTAAGAGTGGCAAATTCCTAGGAAACCTTTGGTTATAATACTTCATGTTTATCATGAAAACCACCCCGTTTGTGTCAGTCTCATATTCCCTTTCAATCTCAAATTTCTTTTATATCCGCCAGTTGTTTTCTCGTTTCTTTTTACAAGGGTGCCACACTTTTATGGAATTGCATGAACATATCACAATAACCGCCTTATGAAAACTTCTGTGAATGTTTCTAAATACTAAATTTCTTCATTTTTATGTTCGAAAAGTTGAATTCTGCTAGAGGTCGTAGACAGTAACTTGCAATTACCACTCTCGTCCATGATCGGGCTCAAACACACCTAGCCTGACGCATTTTCAATGTTGCCGATTTGGGCGTTCTTTGGGGATTAAGTGTGTGTGTGTTTTTTATATACGCACTGACATGTCTTAAAACTTCGTCAATTTAAATATTGATCAGATTTCGATATTATTAAAGTTACTTGTTGGCGAAAACAGTTTACTTTACCGCAATCATTTTAAGTAGTTACTTGTAATCTATGTAAGTATTGACCAATACATACTTTTTCCCCAATGCTTGAATTATCGGCCATCTTTAATTTGTATATGACTATTTGTGTTTTCTGGATCTATAGAATTATTACAAAGACAAGTTATCGCTAGCGGATATTTCTATTGAAATCATTCTACAAGTAATGTCTTGCTTTGTATGTCTGTAGGTAATTTATTTTGAGTCTATATTCGGTATTAAAGACTATGCAACTAAACTGTCCAAACCTACTACAGGCAACTGAAATATACGGATTTCGTACTTCTGCAGAAAGGTCGATTAAAAATAAAATACATAATTATGTTATAAATATATGTTTTTAACATTATAGTATAATCGATAAGTAGGTGTCGGCAATTATTCGCAGTTTTCAAGTTTAATTGATCTTAACAATACCTTCAATCATTTCAATTATCACGCAATTTTGTCCGGTTATTTGCTCTTTTCGAGTTACTCCAGAAGTATACTGCTCACCCGTTATTTCCATTACTACTGATACTAACTCGTGGCCACGAGTTAGCTATCTCGTGGCCACGACTTAGTAACTCGTGGCCACGACATAGTATCTCGTGGCCACGACTTAGCTATCTCATGGCCACGACTTAGTAAATCGTGGCCACGACATATTATCTCGTGGCCACGAGATAAATAAAAACACACACATGTCACATTTGTGCCACCGTAGTATAAAGCTATATCTTTTGAAATATATTTATAAAATTTATCAAAAAAAAAAAAACTTATATAGTTTCCACGACCATAAAGTCGATTGTCGATAAATTTGTAGCATAGAATTAATTTCTCTGTTATTTTACACATATGAATATCAATTCAAACTTTTATATTTTTGTTAATATCGGAAACAATTTTGTTATTTTTTTAATGTGCAAAAACTAGTTTTGCAGTGTTGTTCCAAGAAACTTAGTTATGCCAGGTAACTCTAAGTTTTAATCGTTTGATAAGATCGAAAACACTCCTTTATTTTCCTTTTCAAGATGAAAGTAATGTAAAATATGCAATTTGGTAAGATGGTCAGACTATATGGTATAAGTAAACTGGCGTGACGGATTACTGCTTGTATAACTCTGTAGTAATTGCATGTTGTGTTGAACTGTTTAAAAGACATTTCGTAAAATTGTAGTTGAAATAATTGTATTAAGACAGCATGCCGTTGAAATAATTGTATTAAGACAGCATGCCGTTGAAATAATTGTATTAAGACAGCATGCCGTTGAAATAATTGTATTAAGACAGCATGCCGTTGAAATAATTGTATTAAGACAGCATGCCGTTGAAATAATTGTATTAAGACAACATGCCGTTGAAATAATTGTATTAAGACAGCATGCCGTTGAAATAATTGTATTAAGACAGCATGCCGTTGAAATAATTGTATTAAGACAGCATGCCGTTGAAATAATTGTATTAAGACAGCATGCCGTTGAAATAATTGTATTAAGACAACATGCCGTTGAAATAATTGTATTAAGACAGCATGCCGTTGAAATAATTGTATTAAGACAGCATGCCGTTGAAATAATTGTATTTAGACAGCATGCAGTTGAAATAATTGTATAAAGACAGCATGCAGTTGAAATAATTGTATTGAGACAGCATGCCGTTGAAATAATTGTATTAAGACAGCATGCCGTTGAAATAATTGTATTAAGACAGCATGCCGTTGAAATAATTGTATTAAGACAGCATGCCGTTAAAATAATTGTATTAAGACAGCATGCCGTTGAAATAATTGTATTAAAACAGCATGCCGTTGAAATAATTGTATTAAAACAGCATGCCGTTGAAATAATTGTATTAAGACAGCATGCCGTTGAAATAATTGTATTAAGACAGCATGCCGTTGAAATAATTGTATTAAGACAGCATGCCGTTGAAATAATTGTATTAAGACAGCATGCCGTTGAAATAATTGTATTAAGACAGCATACCTTCAGATTCATGTTATTTTTCATCATGTTGTTGTTTTTTTTCAAATGTATTAAAAAAGTAAACTATTGTCATGTGAACAAAGAAAGTAATTTACACATTACAAACGGCGAACAGTAACAAAATTAGGTCAAAATATGCAAAAATAGCCCTTACTGCGTTAGTCACGCAGTAGAAATTTGGTGATACATACTGCAAAATAAGCCATTAATTGCATATAAAAAGTAAATTATTTCTTAAATTGTGAATGTGTTTCTTTTTTACTTTTCTTGAAATCTTAATTTTCTCAAGGTTTATTTTCTGGAAATATTTATACACTATCTGTAATAGGACATTTATGTATAAGAACTAAAACATGGTAAAGTATAGAAACAGGGAAAATATTGATATTAATAATAATTTCAAAGGCGTTCCACGAAATACTTTTTGTTGAATTACAAGGAAATTGATAACGAAACATAAGTCCATTTGTTTGCATCAAAGATACATATTACAGTAAATCGTCCTTTAAATCATTCGCTTATGTCATGTGCACGTTTCTAAACAAGTTTCATGTATAAAAAGCTATTATTCTAAAAAATGCCCTTTATTATGTAATTGTCTGTAAATGTCAGAATAATGTATGTATCCTTTTTAAAATTTTGTAAGAAAATGTACATGTATATACTTAGTATTATTATATTATCCATGATTGTTAAACGGCAGAAATTTTTGTCAGACCTTAGAGAGACAAAATTTAAGATTTATTTATAAAAACAAAGTTGATGTACAATAATTATAGTATACTGCACAGTTATGAGTACTTTTTGAGAAGATTTCCTGTCTAAATCATAAGATATAACATAACATGAGCTGACAGAGGAGAGGGTACGCTAGACTAATTCAATAATGGGCGCTCAATTTTACACTAAATATATTTTTACGTAAATATTTTTCTTCATCGAAGGTCAAGAAAAAAAATGAAATATCCAACGTTTCGCAGCACATAACATGCGTTCCAATGAAAGGGATATATAGAATATCAACAGAAAAAGATGTTTTAAAACTTTTTGAAATTAGTTTTCAATTTGTAGTAAAGGGGTAATTCTTCTTTTATGTAGAGTTATAGTGATATATATTATCTTGATAAAAAGAGAAAAAAGTATTCACATTTGTTGCAAAAAGTCGGTTGAATATAATTTTTTTAATATTATGATATATATTCTGTGGGGTCAGGAAGAAAATGGAGATATTGATATCGTGTCCTATCTCTGAAAAAAAGAAACAACATATTGAATTGGTTCTGCAATCTACCCCATCTTGTATGATAAATTGCGAGCTCGGCATTTTGCTTTTGCCACTGCAAATTAATTCAAGAGTTCTTTATTATTTGTGAAAATAAATTATGTTCTAAAAAGAAAGAATGTGTTCTATATATCATTTTATATCAATGAATTATCCTCTTACATTTATGTAAATTTTTCCCTGGTTGAAATATGTACATTCCTCTTTAGATTGTTTTCATTTTAAACATTTAAATTCTGCGCATCATTTTATAATTAAAAGATCAATTTATTCAGAATTGGCAACTTCATTACATGAATCAAGTAAATACTACAATTTCATATATTTTAAAACTTTTTAAAGATGTTAATTTTTTTAAAAATACACGAAAATACACGTTCGAAGAACGTGCGGCGCAGCAGTAAGTGTGGAATTTGTTATTTGTTGTTATTGGGATAACACTTGATAAAACTACAATTTAAAACGTATACAAATAATGCATCGAACATAATAGTTAAGCACTTGTCCGCTAATGACATGGGCGTGAGCAAAAGGAGGAAGACCGATCTCCATCAGTGAGGAATGGTGTCATTTGATGAGTAATTGTGTCAATGCTAAACAGAAAACTTACAGTTCCGGAGATTTCATCGTTTTTCTTCTATTGACAGAAACCAAACAGCGGAACAGTTACTGTATACACGAGAAAAGTCGCTTTATCGCTCGTGAATTGTCTGCTTGTGTTGACGCACCAAAACCTGTAAGTAATAAAACGCATATTATTTAACTATCAAGGAAGAAAATGACACAAACTAACAAACTTCATTCTACTTGAAAACTTTACAAGTGCTTTCTTGGAGAATTCTCCATCCCTCTCTTAAAGGATAAACAACACTAATAGCAGATTCATATATCATTATAACATTATAGAGCGTACTTTATAACCACTATATTTAGAATGCAGTAATTATTGTATAGTGTTCCGTTAGTGAGTCGGTGAAAGTTTGTTTATTATAAGTCCATAGTACAAGTATCATTCTTGTTAAGATGATTATTATTCTCCCATTGGTGTGAACGGTGGGATATTTTATTGGATGTTACATTGTCATTAAATAATTATCATTTGAATTATAAGTCATTTTTATGTGTTCTGCAATTTTTTTCATTTCAGTTACGATAATTACTTTGTGTATTATAGTTATAAATCGACTTGTAAATTTAAATTGTATTTAGATACGAACAGCACTATGCGGGTGACGTGCGCACATCTCGTCGGTATTATATTGTTAGTCAACACTTTATTGGCTCTTCTCGTGTCGATTACTACGCCATTTTGGGTAGCAGATGAGACTTCAGAAAGTCATTATGGCCTCATTGCAGCATGTTCGGATGAATGTGATTGGTATTTTGAGGAGGATTTTGGCACATATAAACGATTACCGGGTAACTTTAAATTATATCAGATATATATATAATATACCGATGTTGTTGAAAGTGATCATGTCACAATTAAGTTAAAAATAACTTAAATAATTATATAAAGTTAGCACTAAGAAAACTGAACGACCACTGTTGTGTAGAGGGGTAGCATACTTGCAACCCATGGTTCGATTCCGGACTGCGGCGTGCCTTTTTTTCGTGTCAGTTTTCTGTGTATAATTTTTCGCTCATGACTTTCTTCCTTATATATATATATATTGATAAATGTGTAAGCCATATTTTAAGATATTGATGATATTAGAGAAACTGTGACTGATTCAGCCAACAACGATAAAAAGTAACTATAAACAGCTCGCAATCAAGTGACCCATTGTTTCCAGTCCCAGCTTCGGCGTGCCGTTTCGAAAATATTCGTAAAGAAGTACATTGTCCATCCATTCCTATAGTTGGTTACAATGTCAGAATTGAACGACAAATTAACAGTTTCTCAGTGGTCATAACACGTCATATGTTTCAAATAAAATTATTTTAGAGGCAAATCAAAAAGAGTACAATTTGATACAAATATTCACGGAACTTATATTTGAGCCGCGTCACGACAAACCAACATAGTGCGTTTGTGAACAGGATGGATCCAGACCAGCCTGCGCATCCGTGCAGTCTGATCAGGATCCATGCTGTTCGCTATCAGTTTCTCTACTTGCAGTAGGGTTTGTAAGCGAACAGCAGGGATCCTTATCAGACTGCGCGGATGCGCAGGCTGGTCTGGATCCATGCTGGTCGCAAACGCACTATGTTGGTTTTGTCGTGGCGCGGCTCATTTGTTTGTAATATTTCTAGACTGGTTTAAGGCAGCGCAGGGTTTGATGGTTAGCGGACTTGCCACTGAATTGATAGCTTTGATTGTGGCAATATTGTCTGCATGCACAAAATGTTACAGTTGCAGTCCACATCGTCTTACTGCGGGGTTTCTCTTGGTGTCTTGTAAGTTTTTTTACAATATATTTTTTATCTTAACTGCCATAACATTATAACACACTAGTATGTCGGATTATAAACATGACATAACGTAGTCAGCAATCATTTTTATATTAGCTTGGCAAAAAATACAAATATTTATCATAAATTGTTGCAATCACGACTGCTTTTGCAATTTTAACAGTTTTAAAGTTTGTTTGATTGGCCCTTTTTTCTATGATTTTTTTTTCAAATAATCAGTAAACACATATTAAAATTTAGATTTTCCTGATAACTCGTTTATTTTATAAAAAAAAA